AATGGTCCTACCATTTCCTATAGGTAATGTGAATGTCCAAAATTGGTAAATTTGAATTAATCTCGCGGTGAATTAAACTTCGAACAACGTGTTGTTGTCCTAAAACACAAAGTTTCTCTATAGCGAAATAGGCTGTGGAAATGAACATACCGTATGCTAACCGCGGAACATTAAAGAAAACTAGTTGTGCTTTGCAGAGTTTATCCGAATGCAGTAATTCCGCCATTGGAGAATCTCTCTAAAAATAAGGTAATTTTCGACATTTTTAACCTGCTACTAATCGCCGCAATACCTGTCTTTCCTGCATACTTTGTCGCAGTTCCGGATCGCTATAGACACGATCCCAGAAATCCCAAGTGTCCTCATTGCTTCTTAACACATCTGGCGAGGTGTTCCCATCATCTTCCGTTTCTTCATTATCGCCGTGATTCGCTTCTGAGACCTCCATATTCTCTTCATTTTTTGTTTCTGTGTCACGGCTGGGTGCACTAGTCGCCTCATCACCGCTGCTCCTTCTCTCGCTCGTCCCGGCACATGTCACATCTACACCTATCGGTGCTTTCTTAGATATCATTATCGGTGTAGGTGTTGTGAGACGAATGTCACGACGAGATGGCAGTGGTTGTACCTGGTGAACCATGCGCCTCACCGGCAATGGGAACTGTATTGGCATACTCACATTATCAACGAATTGCGGTGTTGCAGCCAATGACATAGGGAAGAACCTGGGCGCAGTAGTAGTGGTATCGCTCTGAGTGGGACGAGTGTTGATGTTGGATAGTGGAACTGTGTTGGAGACTGGGTTACGAGCATAGAAACTTGTAGTTCGCGACTGATAAACGCTCCCTCCACGATAATAAGTGGTTACTGGCACGGTTCCTCCTCGATTTGTTACCATATTTGAGCTGCTTCTCCACGCATAGCAGCTGGCTCCTAGAAATGCCTTGTGAGATAGGGTCTCAATGCAGGGTAATAGGAGGATATTTTGAAAATGTCTTTACGCGGCTCATCTCTATATAGAGATATCGTAGAGCAGGCGACGAGCGGTACAGAGGTTTGAAGGAGGCACTATAGGGATGTACCGCACCGTAACCTCTGTACCGCTCCTCGCCCTGCTCTACAGGTGCGGTACATCTCTCTAGTGCCTCCTTCAAACTTCTGTACCGCTCGCCGCCCTGCTCTACGGTATCTCTGGCACTTTGTTACCACTTAAGTACTGGTGGACAAGTAACATCAACATTACCGTAATTCTGCTCATATCATGTCAATGGATAGTGAAGTTTTTGCCTTGTAACTGTGCGATTGCACATTACTTACATTTTGATAGGCAAAAGATTCGACAAGCTGAAAAGGTTAAGACTATACAATATTGTAGCTCATGGTTTGTCGTGTAATTCACTAAGGACCGTATTCATGGAAGTCCCTTTGAGAAGGAATGTAAAGCTTATCAAAATCTTCGCTATAGAATGAAACAGCCAAAATTGAGAGTAATCTATCGCAAAAGCTTTATAGCTGAAAAGATAATGATTTGTGAGAACGTAATCCACTTTGTGCAAATGAATTCATCAACTCTCATAGGATCTCAATAAAATTGCAAAATCATTGAAGTAGCCGTCTGT